TCGATATATTGGACTTATCTTGCTTTGTCGTTTATAAACATTGCTTTCCTCCCTTTCTCCCTTATTTCCATTTTCAGGCTTGGAACACTCAGAGTTTGTAGTCACTAGTGTTTATTCTCAAGGTTATAGGAATAATATGGTCCTTATCTTAGGCTGTGAAGTAGATCAATGCCACTCAAACAATGTCAAGGACAGTAGAATGCCTTCATAGTTCAACCCCCTTTGCCCAAGCGCACATTGTGGTCTAGTGTTTGATTTCTGACTTGTTTCTAAGCATTCTATCCTATCTACCTACGTTTATTTATAATTTGCCAACCCCCTGACCGACTTCTTGGCTAGCAAGTTCCTTTAGCACCCCACTTCTCTTTGGGGCTCCATTCCATTTCAGCTTACACGGCATCCTTCACTAGAACTTCCGCTGTACCTTAAAAGAACCCTGCCTCTTTTCAAACACTGCATGACATGGGGAGTAAGTGGATTCAAAGAGAACAAGCTCACAACTCTCCCTAGAAAAACAAAACCAGCAACAGCTCTGGACAAAAGATGATTTGGAGGGAAATGTACTCTCAACTTCTGAGCAGCAATGATTAAATTTTCTATGATCTTCAAACAGATCTAGATAAGCACGCCCCTTTAGTCTCCGCTTCTAGAACTCTATGACGAAGTGGCTGAGCGCCTCTCCTTGGACCAAATGTCAGCACTCCACCATGCTATGTCCCTTAAAAGCCCGTCAAGCTTGGCTGTTGCTGTCTTTCTTGGTTGCCTTTTTGGTTTTACGTTTGAGACAGGGTCTCACTGTTACTCTGGCTATCCTAGAATCACTCTGTAGATCAGGCTAGCCTCGAATTTACATCTATCCACTTGCCTCTGCCTCCTGAGTGCTGGGATTATAAATCCCCTCAAGTGTTTAACACAGGTAAATCAGTGTCAAGTAATAAAAGCAGATATTAAATGGCTCTTTATAGATATCACACTTTCAGAAACTTTCATTTATGCTGCTCAGTTTTTAAAAATCTGCAGATATTCTTAGGATTCAAATGGTTAAAACTGAAGAAATGTCCCAGGGGCCGAGGCAGCAGCAGCTTAGTGAACCATGGCTTACCTAGCATGCATGAGCCTCTAACTGTGTTCTCAGCATTGAAAACAAATTAATCATCCCATTTGAAAGGGTCTTTACTTACCAATGAATTTAAGGTGACCTAAAAATACATTTAGCAGAGAAGACTGTTAACAGCCATATACGTTCAATATAAGGCTGTTCAAACGCAGGGGCTACATAAAAGCGGTGCTTACGTGATCAGAACAGAAACGAACAATGCTATGTGGACCCCTACGCATTAAATAGTCACTTGTGAGCTCTAAAGTTAGAATTCAGGCTCTCCCCCTGGGCTCCCATTCAAGCAAAGGCATTCACGGCAGAATGCCAGCCTTGCTTGCTGCCTGTTCACCGTGCCACATCCAACCCAGCTGGGTTTCTTTGGTTAGCGTTAGACTGGCATCAGTTCCAGAATGTGAATGCATTCAGGTGCTGTGCACCCAACTGCTACCCAAAGTCTGGGTCACAAAACAAGAATTTTCTAGTTGTACCTGTCAGAGACCTAAATATTAAAGCTACCATAGTAGAACACCAAGTCTTTTGGACCTTTGCCTGTAACTCCATGGAATTCTTCCCTTCAGTTTTAGGTCCTCCACTTTGCGTTAACAGAAACACACAGAAAACCTCATGTACTTGCTGAAATCTCCATCTGGGTGCTCCGATCTGTTCCTTAATATTCATTATTTTAAAACACAGAGCAAACTTGTATGGAAGCTCAGACTGTGGTGCTTTTGAAAACCTGGTCACATGTTCTTCAAAGCTGTTCTAGTCATTGAATGGCTGGGACCCTCGGAAAGCAACCACGTGAAAAAGCGGTACCCTGTTCAGAACCATTTATGACCAGAAAACCCGGAAGTAACCGAAATGTCTGAAAAAAAAATATTTGTGCAAAATACAGCACATATCCCAGAGAGAGAGCTGTGGAATTTCAGACAAATAAAGGCACTGTGTGTGTGCGTATGCACACATATTCGTGTTTATTTGGGCATGAGTATGTATGTGTATTTGAGGGGGGGTAGTCCTGGAGGAGTCAGTTTCTCTCACAATGCCACACTTTTCTTTGCTGCACTTGTAAATATGTTCATTTGTGTAACTACGTGATAAATGCTTCTCTCTCCTGGTCCACAACAGGGGCTCCTAGTTTTGTATACCACTGACCACTCGGTCCTAATAGTTGAACAAAGGATGCAAGGTGTAAATGATGATGAGGGACACAAAGGGTCCTGGTCAAGCTGAATATCAAACCAAAAGGGCCCACTGCCATCATTTCCACTTAGAACATGGAAAGGCCAGGAGGGTCAGAAGTAGATGCAGCAGGGACAGCATTCTAAGCAAGACGGGCTCTCTCTGATCTGTAGCTATGCCAGGGGACAGGGTGGAAGTGGGGCAGGTGCCTGGAAGAATTATCAGGAGGGCAACAACATATTAAGACTTGTATCTGTCTGAATTCTGAATGGTCAGAGGCCTGATGATACCTGAAAATACTAGGGAAAAGGAAAGGATGTGCCCCTAGAAGATACAAGTGGGGGCCACATGCTGGCAACCCTGATGACCTGAATTTGATCCTGGGACTCACACGATAAAGAACAAACTCCCTTAACACCCATTCACACAAACTTTGCGTCACTGCTATTCTGAGCCAGTTTAACTGACAGCAGTCACCATGTCCTTGAGGACACAGGAGAAGAAAAAAATCAAGGGCTAGTGAATGACAGGAAGAGACCGGAATTCTACTACGGTAAATTTTATAATAAGGAGCTTATTGTGTCCGATTCTGGATCAAATGTGCATTCAATTCCCCAGTCCTTGTGAAATAGGCACACTTCCCCTTCAGTGCACACACAGAGGGCACAAATGCAGTGCCCATTAAGTTTTGCTTTTCAGGCCAGCACAGAGTTCCTTTATGTTATTCTTAATCTTGGTACCACTGAGATTTCAACCTAGATCAGTGGTTCTTAACCTGTGGGTCCCAACCCCCTGGGAGTCGAATAACCCTTCCACAGGGGTAGCCTAAGGCCATCAGAAACATACTTACATTACAATCATAACAGTAACAAATTCACAGTTATGAAGTAGCAACAAAAATAAATTTATGGTTGGGGTCACCACAAAATGAGGAACTATATTAAAGGGTCACAGCACTAAGAAGGTTGAGAACCACTGGCTGAAACAATTACTCTCAGAGGCTAAACTGTGCCCCTCCGCGTCATAAATGTGGGAGGTCTTAAGAGCAAGACTAATTACAGAGACTCATTAAGAGGTAAAGTAAAATGAGGTCACAGAAAAGGGTCTGATCCAGCATGAGAGGTGTCCTCACAGGGAGAGATCTGACAGACACGTGTGCAGAGGGAAGACCTCGTAAGGACACTCTAAGAAGGCAGCGTCTACGAGCAAAGGAGAGGCCTGAGAAGACACACCCTACCTATTCTATTGATCTAGTCTTCCAGGCCCTAGAACTGAGAGGAAAAGTCAATGTTCAAGGTGATAAGGCAGGACAGTGTTTGACAGCAGCCCGTGCCCAAATGGTAATGCTCCTCCAACCCCCTCAAGTCCTAGTGAGTGAAACCATCTCCCTACTCTGTTCAACTGTCCCTGAGGAACAGACTCCTATTGCACTGAGAACCAGTTTTAGAATGGACTGAGTGCTGGCCATCGCTATATTCTAAGTGTTCAGTACAGTGACTGATAGGAGGTTACTGTTTGGATCCATGTGCCTGGTTCCCCGACTTGTGTTGTATCTCTCCTCTGCAAACTGCTTTTGCTGCAAATACAATTGTTTCCAACTTAATATAGCAGATTATGTCACTTTAAGTGAAGCATGGCTTTCGCTATAGCCTAATCCTGGTAACTCAGCTCACTTATCCTATAGCAGATCCACCGACAGATTCAGTGAGTGGTACTGCTGTCTGTTTCCCAAACTCAGGGAACTCATAAGAAATATCAGGGGTAGAGCCAGTGTGAAAACATTCAACTCTTGCCATAATGAGGAAGCTCTCAGTCCCCTGCCCCCCATACACATTGTCAGAAGCCCCAAAGCACAGCAAAAAGCTAGCATCAGAGACATTCTCTGGAAAGGAGAAGCCATAAATGGTTTCCCAGCAATAAGGCCACTGTTGTAAACCAGCAATATGTGCGATGCGTGTGAAAGCTTGTGTGTCTGGGCCGCACAGTGGCTGAGGGGTCAAGGAGGGCAGGCTTGCTTTGAAATGCCAAACAAAGGCAGGGAAAACTGGGAACTGAAGGCATTTTGAACACAATAACAAATTTTATGACAAACGCAATATAAAGATTTATAGCCTTTATTCAAATACAACATACTATTTCAAGGAAATTACAAATTGTGTATTCATTGGTAAAACCCATTTATTTGTTTTGTTTAACAGCTGGGAGTAAAAGTGTTAGAGACCTCCCTGACCCCAGGGGCTAGCAGTACTATTTTTTAAGTGAAGTGTCACTTCAGAAGAACACACACATGCTTCAGAGCTCCTACGACTGTAACCTTAAATTACATTACCAACTTACCTGCCTTTTTAAAAATTATAAAACTAACTTTGTGACTTTACAATAAAACCCTATGCTATGAAGACACAGGTGTGTCTAACAGACAACTTAGGTACTGACCACTAACTGCCAGCAGCCTGGCAACAGGCACTCAGACAAAGAGATTACGATAAAGCATGTTATTCTTACTAGCTTATTACTGTCATGAGGAAGAAAAGAAGTTTTTGCTGGGGCTGGTTCGCCAATGGCGAAAAGTGAAAATGACTTAGAAACATCCTGAAATAGAGTCAAACCGAGCAAACACCCCTGATGAGGAATGTGTCTGCCGTGCAAAGCTAGTGATTATGTTTTTAGGGGAGAAATGTCTTAAAAGAAGGAAGCAACTGACCAAGAAGGTCAAGGATCATTTTATAACTTTTTTTTTGTTTTCTTTTCTAGAAAGGCAAAGAAGAATGAAATAATAAATTAACTATTACAATTATAATTAAACATTGTCATTGGGCATTGCTAAACATGGCAATAAAAACTATATTCTGGTCACTGTATGGAAAAGCTGGCGAAAGCCCATACTAATTCCTATTCCGCTTGTTTCTTGGCTCTGTCTCGGCACTTTCGGTGGCTCTCATGCGGTGATTCTGTTGTGGGTTTATTTCTCTGTTCTGATCATTTCTGAAAACAAGAAAAGAAAACAAATGACATATTAGAAAGCAGTGGTCAGTGTTCTATGGGAACCCTGTGTACTAAGTCCTCTCACATGCATGACTGCACTAACACCTACAACTGCCCCTCCTCTAGAGACATAGTTATAGTTTGTATTGTCACTGTAATTATCATTCCCACTTTACAAGAACAATGAATCTGCAAAGACCAAAGAAAGAGTCCTTCCCTTGAGTCAAAACCCAGTAGCTTTAAAAAGCTATGTATAGTGATAAACCTGTAGTCCCAGCACTTGGAAGGCAGAAGAAGGAAAATCTGGTTGTGAGGAGGCCTGGTCTACATTCTGAGTTCCAGGCCATCCTGGAAGTAGGCACAAATACTATATCTAGACCAGGACTCAAAAACAAACAAAGCTGGGGAGATGGCTTAGTCACTAAAATCTTGTTTTCAGTTCTATCTTTTGAACCCTGTGGTGATTTGAAAAAGAATGGCTCCCAAAGGCTCATATATTTTAATGCCAAGTCATCGGGTAGTGGCACTACTTGAGAATGATTACGGAGCGTCACCTTGTTGGAGTAGGTGTGGCCTTGTTGGAGGGAAGTATGTCACTGGAGGGGAAGGGATGTTGGAGGTTTCAAAAGCCCAAGCTAGGCCCAATGTTGTCCTTTTCCCATTGCCATCAGGATCCAGATGTAGAACTCTCAGCTGCTTCCCCAGCACCAAGTCTGCCTGCGTGCTACCATGCTTCCAGCCATAACAGACTAAACTGTCAAGTCCCAATTAAATGTGTTCTTTTAAGAGCAGCCATGGCCACGGCATCTCTTCACAGCAACAGAAACCCTAACTAAGACAGACCATCATTAAGAAGCCAAGCACATGGAGTGGCCTGTGTTTGTAACCCCAGTACCGGGGATGTAGATACGTGGCTAGATCCATGGGCTGAGGCTCACTGTCAGCTGGCCTAACTTACCTAGTGAGCTCCTGACCAGTAAGGAGTCTTATCTATTGCTGTTTCCCTCCCTCTATCTCTCTCACATACACCCCAAACAAAACCCAAGATAAAACAAGTCCCTCACACAAATTCCCTGATTTTGGGCAGAGCATCAGGTAATGAAAGAGGAAGGGAGCTGCTGTGTAATCAACTAAACTTCTCAGGAATCCTTCCTTTTTTTTTCTTGATGTTGGTGAATCAAACCCAAGGTTTTGCATGATGTGGGATTCCCCTCTGTATGCTGTGATTACCATTAATAAAGAAACTGCTTTGGGCCTATAGTAGAGTTATAGGAGAACAGAGCTAGGTGGAAAAAACTAAACTGAATGCTGGGAGAAAGAAGGCAGAGTCAGGGAGATGCCATGGAGCCACCAGAGGGGAAAGACGTGAGCCACCAGCTGGAACCTTGCTGGTAGGTCACAAGCCTTGTGGTAAAATATAAAATAATAGAAAAGGGTTAACCAAAGATATAAGAGAAGAGCTAGCTAACAATACCCTTAAGTGATTGGCCAAACAGTGATTTAATTAATACTGTTTCTGAGTGATTAATTCATGGCCCAGGCAGCCGAGAATGAACAAGTGGCCTTATACAACACTCGAACATTCTAAATACAAATTTCACCATGAATTCTTTGTTTGTTTTATTGAGATAGAGTCTTATTGTGTAGCTCTGGCTGACCTGAAGCAAACAATGTAGGCCAGAATAGCATGAATTCTTAAGTACAAGGTAGCAGTGTGGGACGAACACATGAGTCACTTGCAAGCCTCATTCCTCCACTGCCAGAAAGAGGACAGCCTATAGAGATAGTCACTGAGGCAGGCAGAAAGCACCGCTGCCTCCGGGCATGCATCTCTTTTGTAAAGAGCAGGAATACACTGGTCCCTGGGACTCAGACAAACATCTGAGTCTCTTATGGAAAAATAGGAGCTGAAGATGTCACAGATGCTTTGGCCAATACAGCCAGAACAACCAGTAGAAATCAACTAGGCCAACTCCGGAATCTCCTAGCTCAACTCCCCAAATTAATGGTCACACAGCAGTAAGCTCTTTTCTAGGCACAAACACTATTTACCTCGGTCCCTGGCATCTTTCACAGTATATTCAGTCTTAGGCTACAATGGAAGACACAAGAGAAGCAAGAGACTCTACTGCCATGCACTAAGCAGCCGATGCAGAGGCAGCCCACACACTGGAACCACCAGACCATGGAACTTCAAAATAATTCAAACCAATACATGAAGGTCTCTAATAAAAAAAAAAAAAGGCAGGAAACATCAAGAGAATTTCAGCAGACATAGACATGATATAAACAAATCAAATGGAAACACTGGGAAACCTCTAAGGTATCAGAGAGGAAGTATTTCTTCAAAGGACTATTAAGTGTAAGAAACAGAACTAATAAATGCCTCAGATGTGTCAGCCGGGGCTGGAGAGATGGCTCAGCGGTTGAAAGAGCTTGCTCCAGAGCACGAGCAGCAGCTCTTAACCTCCTTTAACTCCAGCTCTGGGGATGCAATGCTCTCTTCACTTGCTCATGCTCACACGCACACATACACATATAAATAAGAATCTTTTTTAAAAAAAAATCAAATTGAAATACAAAGAAAAAAGTGTGTGGAAGCTCGTGCGTGCATGCATGGGCACACATACACATATGACTAGAATTCCTGTAGGAGAAACAGCTGTGGAAATGAATTACACAGCTGTGAGTTTTCTAAAAACAGTGAAAGATATTAAACAAAGACAGAAAGTGGTCAGCCTGCCCCCATTAACAACTAACAAACAGAAAACATGTACAAAAATATTCAAAGTACTGCAACTCTTTGGAGGCAGGCAGAGAAAAGGGAGCATTCTGTAGAGGGATGAGTAAGATTTGCAGCAGGCTTCTCATAAGAAACCAGACAGGCCTCACGGTCATGCAGCGATAACTTTAAAATGCCAGAAGGAAAACTGTCAACCCAGAATCCACCCCAAGCAAAACATCTTTCAAAGGTGAAAGCTAAGAAAAGACATCTCAGACAAAAGCTAAGAGGACTGATGGCTAATACATTTAAGAAACATCATAAGAAACATTAGAGGAAGTTTTTACATCAGACAAGCATGATCGCCAGCTGTAAATCTGGACCTATTTAACTTGCATAGGAGTAAATATACAGGACCATGATAGGAAGAAGGAATTGGAAACACTGTTGTTAGGTTTTCATATACCAAGGGACATATGTGAAGGCTCAATATAATAAATATGCATGTCACAAACCCCAGGACAACCACTACTTAAAAACAAAGGTAAAACTAGTAAGCTAGCCCTGGACATAAAATGAAATCACATGCTATTGCCTATTGATTCAAAATGGGTTCAGACAGAAGGAAAGGAAAAGGCATTAGGCAAACAGAAAATGGCTAAAATAGTCATGCATAATCATTACTGGATGGGAGGGGTGAAGATCAGGTGTATATATAGAGAGAAATAAGGCAGAGTCAGTGAGAAGCCATATTGTCCCACTTGAGAAGGAAACTTTACTTAGAAAGCCACAGCCATGTGGCGATACACAGATTAATGGAGATGGGCTAGTTTAGGATGTAAGAGCTAGCTAAAAATATGCTTAAGCTATTGGCCAAACAGTATTGCAAATAATCTAGTTTCTGTGTGGTTATTTTGGTTCTGCATGGCCAGGAACAAACAAGCAGCCTCCAACAACATAGGTGGTAGGGTGCTTGACTGGATACATTCCAGCACGGCATCGACCAATCACATGGGGCAGGCCTGTAATCCTAGCATGTAGGAAGCAGAAGCAGGAAGTGAGTTCAAGATCATGCTTGACCACAAAGCACATTGAAGACAAACCTGGAAGACACTATAAAAAGTATATGCCAATAATTACATTAAATGTAACTGGCCGAACTACCCAAATTAAAGACAGACTACTATTATATCAACAAAAAGTGAAAAAAAATCATATGCTATAGGTTTATAAAAAGCAACCTAAACACGTCAAAAACTGGGAAGGGCCTAAGACAACTAAGGGCAAACTACTAAGTTAGCCTGGCAACTTCACAATAACCAGAGAGTGCATTAGGCTTCTGCAAAAAGTGCAGTTTGTGTTTTACAGAAGACAGGCACCTGAGCTGCTTAAGACCTGGTTCCCACAGGGTGACACAGAGAGGCCAGATGACACCAGTATGGGCAAGCAGCTCATGTAGGAAAATTCTTTTTAATGCTCAATATTTTGTCTCCTGTTTCTTGACAGGCAGTCTTCCAATGCTACTTACCATACAAGCACCCTCAATACAAAGACAAAGCATGTTCACCAAGAACAGTCACTGCCTGACTTTTCAGAACAAACAGAAAAGCAAGACTCCTAAACACATGTCTCCCATCAATACCGACCCTGTTTTTACACCAGAGTGACTTCTAGAGAACTGAGGCATATACCACTTCATCAGCCACTGTGCCCAACTGACAAGAATTGGCATTAGTTCATTCTATTCGTCTCATATAGTTAAAATTACTAGCAGTACAATGAGGTGAATTTGCAATAGTAAACCCAAGTATGAGGCCAGAATCCCAGATTCAGCAAGAAGAACAATTCTATAAACCTTCAGTGGCTACCTCAGAAAGCCACATGGAATCTTGGCAGTGACTCACGACACTTGTAAATACCATCCACCAGAGGCAACATAGCATCAGTCACTTCAGCTAAAGTCAAAGAAAACAAGTGGATGGTTTTACTGTAGGAATAGCAAGGTATGCAGACACCACCATTCACATTCCTCTAGAAAGCCCTCCCTGAGTAACAAAAGGCAGCTTCAGTCTGGAGAGCTCTCCACGGTTGTCTGAGGGCCTCATAATCTACCAGTGGTGTTTCTTTGAATTCTTAAAAATTGATCATGATCATTCATCACCAGTGTATAGAAAGGAAAATTAATACCTGGTTCCCATACAAGCAGCATAGTCTAGGACACACCCCACAATAGTGCTCCCAAAAAGGAAGTAGTTCTCATGACTGCTGGTTTCCGAGAAATGGCATCAGCATCAGTAGGGTCCGCAAGTTGACTACACTTCCTCTAAGACTGTCTGGTCAGGTAGTAAACATCAGGATAGCTTCTCAGTCAACTCAAATAACTGAATCCACTCCTGGTTTTTGAAGAGCCAGCCAATATAACCCGTCTCATGTGTACATGCCGCCAGCAGGTGGGACAACTGAGAAACAACGTGAGAATGGAGAAACCAAGGACATCTGGAGGTAATAGCATGTGTCTGTGTGAGAAAGGGCAGGCTCTGCTGAACAGTTCAGAAGGCTCTGATGAATGAAGATCAAATTATGTTCCAAGTCACCTGACAGGAGAGCAGGCAGGAAAATCTAAGGCACTCGCAACCATCAGGAGAACATCACAAGGGCATTTTTTCAGTGAAGAGCCTTTCACAGATTGCTCTGAACATCAGAGTCCATCTGTGTCTTTCTGTCTACAACTTCCCTAGTCTACAAGTTCCTATGTTTAGATAGCAATGTTCTAGTACTCCTTCTCCTCTACAAACCAGTGTGTCCTTTCCCGTTAGTTAGAATGTCACCTGTTTAAATGATCTCCCACATTCATCCAGTCTTCTTACCCAGAAAGGAGGGATAAGGACATTCCTATAAAACTTAGAAAGACTCTTTATACTCCCCATTTTTGCCAGGGTGGGTCAAGGTAGGGCTTCTCAGCCAGTAATGTACCCAACCAAACGGTTTAGATTTTTCTGATTTAGAAAAAGTGTTAGCGAATTTTCTACAATGGTCCAAATTATTTTGGACTTTGACAACTCTGCTGCAACTACTTGACTTTTTAGTAACATGAAACAACAACAGCAAAACCCAATAAGAACTGTGGGAGGTGATGTATGCTGTGAACATGTTTTAGTGCTATTAGTTAATAAAGAAGCTTCTTTCGGCCAATGGCTTAACAGAATATAGCTACACTGAAAGAGATATACATAGAGAGTAGGCAGAGTCAGAGAGAAGCCATGTAGCCACCTACAGGAGATAGCCGCCTCCGATGGAGCCCACCGGAACCTTGCCCGTAAGCCAGTCACGTGGCAATACACAGATTAATAGAAATGGGTTAATTTAAAATATGAGTTAGCCACATATATGTTTAAGCTACTGGTCAAACAGTATTGCAATTAATACACATTTCTGTGTGATTATTTCAGGAATCTGGATGGCCAGGAAACAAACAAGCAGCCATCACTCACCAGGTAAAAAAATGTATAGCTATGTTCTAATAAAACTTTATTAACAAAATCAGACAAAGGACCAGATTTGGCTCATGGGCCATGGTTTGTCAATCTTGGCCTAGAGTTACAACACCCCCCCCCCCCAAATAAAGTTTAACCCTGGCCAAACACGCACACAGAGTTATATCAATATAGCCAATCCAGGGATGCTGTTTGGAAAGGGAGGGAGAGAGAGAAAGAGAGAGTGAGACAGAATTGTATACAGGATGATTCACAGGAGCAGGTTCTCTGTTTTTACCATATAAGCTTGGGGGATCAAACTCAGGTCATTGAGCTCAGCTGCAAGCATTTTCTCCCACTGAGTCATTTTACTGGTCCTAGAATCCTGAGTTTTTGAACAGCATAACATCAATACCATTTTTAAAATCATTAACCACAAAAAGGCCAAAAAGAGAAGTTACCTTTCTGGGGACAGCAGTATTCAATGATCAATTCTATTGACACCCTGATCCTGGACTTCCAGCCTCTAGAGCTGTGGGAAAATGCTTTTCTATTGTTTAAGCCACCTACTACATGACGCAATTGTCCCCCGTGGATGTTAAAGACTTCGCCACTCTCTACGAGGATAGGTTATCAGAGGTTCACAAACCAGAACCTGCATGTCAAATGGAAATGGCACACAGAGGAGCACAGCCAGCCTCTGGCCCAAGAGTCATCACAGCTTTACCCCAGGCCACAGCAGCCATACTACCAAGGAACAATCTATCCCTTCCTGTTACCTTACACATTTATCAAAAATAATATAACAACAACAACAACAAAACCCTAGTCATTACATTTATTTTAAAAAGTTTCAAACTACCTGATTTAAAGCACTATCAAATAGCAATTATGAAGTGTTAAAAAGACTTCTACATGATCAATAAACACAAGAGTAATTCCAGAAACAAATATATACACACCTATGAAATAGACATGAGCCATCTCTTTAATACCTAATGCTACAGCAATGGAAAAGCCTTATGCAAAAAAGAACCACTGAACCAGTCATCATCATACCTTATGACAATAAGTTCCAAACCTTAATGTAAAACCTAATACTTCTAAGCCATAGGAAAAAAAAATGGTGACTTTGGATTATAAAAAGGTTTCCTAGGTTGGATGAAAATAATTAAAACAGACATAACACATTTCATCAAAAAATTAAAAGCTATACTTAGAGAAACGGTACCAAGAAAATGAAAAGACAAATAAATACAGAAAAGATGAGAATGAGAGCCAGGAAGGTCTCCATCTTAGTATGTCTGAACACTGTTCCTGACATAGCACTTTAAAAGAGCAGAGATGGGCAAGTGCCTGGAGAACACGAGGAACTCACAGAGCCAGAGAATTCCCAAGTTCTGAGGAAGGCAGGAGGCCCAAGTTCTGAGTGGTGTACCATCGGCATGCAATTCTGCAGGTCCACTGTAACCTGCATGGCCCTCTATCCACAAAGGGCTGTGATGAAAATGAGTCTGTCTTCACGGCAACGGTTTTTGGATTTGTTTGGGGGTGGGGGGATGAAATGAAATTTTACTTCTTGTTGCCTATGGTAGTTTTCCATTCCATCTTTAGCTTCATGTACTCTGGGACTCTTGTTACATGTATACATGTTCTCAATCATTTTGTCTTCTTGATAGTTTGACCTTTTCGAGCATCATAAATGTCTTTGGCTCTGTTACGCTTTTTACCTTCAAGTCTATCTTGTCAACATTATCATTATGTTAGACTCGTTCAGGACGTCTATGGCATATCTTTTTTCTGTTCTTTTGATTTCAATATATTGGTGTCTTGGAATCAAAAATTTGTTTTTTGTAGACAAAGCACAGGGGCACAGTACATTTTTTTTTAATCAATCCATCCAGCAAGAGTCTATATTCTGATTGGGTTGTATAACCCAATCCTATAATCATTCATAAAGCAGAATTTGTATGTCCTTTTTTTTTTGTCATTTCTCTGTCTTCTTTGGTGTTATCCAAATACCTTCTATTGTAGCATTTTAATCCACTTTGAAGTTGTTCTACTTATCTTAAAACATCATCATCATCATCATCATCATTTTAAACACAAGATCTCATGTAGCCCAGGCTGGCCTCAAACTTGATACAAAGCTGACCTTGAACTTCTGATCTTCCTGCTTTGTATAAAACATTGCTAATGAGGCGAGGAAAGTGAATTCTGAATGGCCTCTAGATTTAGCAGTATGGAGGCTGTCAAAGAAGGCTGGAAATGGAAGCTAAAGAAACAAATTGCAAGATGACATCACTACTAAGGAAGAGAGAAGGAGGATCACCTGTGGCTAGAGAGGCTGCCCCTGTACATCAAAGACAAAACAATAAAGACCCAACTAAAAGGGGAAAGGCTGCCTGTGTGAGATAAGGACGACAGAAGAAGGTGGCTCCAGACAATGGGGCAGGAATGATGCTGAAGGAGAAATTCACCTTAGACACGAGGAAGGATATTTCTTTGTTTAGTCAATCTGTGCTTAGCAAATTATCACACTGTCAAAAAAAATATCATGGACATAGAAATGAGATCTACATGTAACTAGTTATTGCACCAGGACTCCAGTTCCACAGTGAAACTACACAGACAAGAAACACAGCAGAAGTCTTTGGTTTACACCTGGATTATTAGTCTCTTCCATCTGTCAGAAAGCACAAATGTCTTGCATAGAAGCAGCTACACAGAGTGCTCATTTCTCAGGCCCAAACTCGCACATTGCTGAGTATGAGAACTCACCTGTGAGATGCTTCCCAAGCTTCCTCTTCTTCCAGAAGGTCTCTTATGATGTCCGAACTGGAACTAAAAGGACATGTATCAGCAATGCTACACTGTGAGGTCTGTCCTGACCCAAACATGAGCACTGGGGAGCTAGGGTCAGTGGGGGAGGACAAAGAGGCACAAAGGGATACAGAAGAATAGGCATATTCACTGTTCACACTGTAAGATGGTTTTGTGGTCACATATGTGGAACTTCATCAAATTGGGTTCCGTAAATATTTACAATTATATGTCAACTAAATTTCAAAAAAACTATAAAAACTTTAATGAGTTAGCAGTGATAAAAACAATGAAGAAAGTGTAAATAAACTCTCAACATAAACCTGAGTCTAGACAGATCAATGACATGCTTTTTAATCTTTTATGTCAATCAAAGATCAAATTACAATTTTCTTAGTTCCCAGCTCTATCAAAAAGAAAAAGAGAAAGAGATTATGTTTTAAAAACTAAATTCTGGTGATGAGAGTCCACACGCAGTAGCTAAGTGGCTTTTAGTCTCTTGGTAACCAACATCTGAGCAGTGCTAACAATGGAAATGTGTTATAAAAATGTGATCTAGCTTAAAATGCTACACTCTCTAGTGGTGCATGGAAAACAGGTCATAGAGAGCAAAAATTATTCCTTTAAAAGAAAAAACTATTTGAAGGTTTTAGCATCTTGTTCTTATAATCAATAAAAATTATCTTAGAAAGGCTGTGTGTCCACCAGTATCAAACACACTTCTCTACACATTCTACATGGAATGTCATGGGAACCATATGGCACTCAAAAACAAACGTCACCTAGCAGAAAGAGGAGAAAGCTAAGGTGAGAAACAGCTGGGCTGAAAATACCAAGTGTGAACAATATCTCTAATGATACACTAATAAATAACAAAAGCTTTAAATTATGGAGATTTAAAGTGTCAAGGAAGTACTTTCAACCATTTCTCACAAACCACACTGAAGCAGTATTTGCCCATGATGCCTAGGCAAGAGGCCACAGAGATCATCAAACAGAGCTTTGGACCAAATGTTCCACTCAGTGTATTTCCCCAAGTCCTCTAGATTCCTAAGGAGCCTCATGCAGGATCTAGGTGGAGAGGTTGTCCAGTCACACTACAAGTGTAACCCCATACTTCTAGTACATTCCCTGAGATTCTGAGAACAAGGAACTCACTGGTAATAATAACTTCTGGTATTTGTGGCTTGAAAAATATCCATAATAATAATATGGATGTGAATTCAATAATACTTTAGTTGTGTTTATTTGCAGAGCAGTACACACATATGATTTTTTAAAATGGTAGACACTATCTTGTCTACGTCCACAGTCAATTCACTCATCTACGTATGCACTGCAATTATTCCTTTAGGTCCCTGTATTGGGAACCATGACCCAGCCTGCCACAGTACCCACATATACACTGCTGTTTCCCTTCTCAAAAGCTGGAACAGTAACACTTCATCAGTCAATTTCACCCAACACTGGTTTGTAACAAACCTTTCCTATTAAACAGCTACTGAAATGGAGCTTTTATTAGAAGAAGAAGAAAGCCCTGCAGGTCAGTTAGCTGATTTCAATAACTTTATTACTCTCTGGGAGGCAGACCCACACAGTCTCTCACTGGGGAGGGCTCATGGCCACTGCCACTGCCATTCCCAAAGAAGCAGTTTTAAACCTTTCTGGTCCCGAAATCTCAACTCTGGCTCCTCTTTATTTTGCAGTAATTGTTCTAATTGCAGAAGAAACCTGCAGTTATTTACTCTTTCATGCTCCCTGATAACGATCTAACAGTATTTCTGGAGACACTTGACGATATTTCTGGCCAGTGTCACATGGTCAGAAGAAAGAATAAAGTCTGCCACTTGTCCAATACCCTCACCCACCACCAAATAAATGACTTAAAAAAAAAGATAACAGCCAGGCATGGTGGCACACACCTTTAATCCCAGCGATGTCAAGTGTTGCAGGAGGTCCTTCCGCTCCTCCAGGCAATAGCCGCTGAGATACCAAGCCCATTGGGGCGTGGTCTCTCTCTTTAAAAAAGCAGTGTCTTCCCTCCTCGCTCTCTCTTACTTCCTGCTCCACTTCTGGCGACTAGACTCCTTCCTGATTGCACAGAAGGCTGTTGTCTGGGACGGTGATCTGTAAGTTTTTTTCCCCTTTAAATAAATACCACCTTATTAATCATAATTCCAAACTGCTGTGGGATTGTTTGTGACTTACGCCTTCAGTCATGTTAGAGGCAGGTGGATCTCTCTGAGTTGGAGGCTAGCCTGGTCTACAAAACAAGTTCCAGTTTCAGTCTTGTCCAGAAGCTGGTAGGCTGTGATCAGTTTTCCTAGGTGCTTCCAAATCAAGCAGCACAGTCACAGTTTGTTAAAGGGAACATGTGCAGTGCACAAGGCACACTCTTGAGAGGCTTCTCAAAAATACCTCAGTGGAAACAGATCGCAGACTCACAAAGCACACCAATCTGCTTTCTCTTGTCTTCGGTACTGATGCCCAACCATGCTGGCAATTCCCCGATGTCCTCAGTCTTCATTTCTTTCCACTACATCTTAGACCCTCATGAGAATGATCACAAAATCAAAACCTAACTGATCCAAAACCAAGGAAGTGCGTGTTCATAGCTATGAAGTTGCAGGATCTACGGTACATCTGCTACTTCAAATTTTGTCAACACTGAATGTAAGAGTTGACAGGAACACATGGCAATACCAGACAGAACTGTTCAAACCTGTCTAAAGTAATGCATTCACTGTGTCCTTCTCAAAAGCCAGATGTTAGAAACTAAGCATTCAGTCTCATAATTGGGATTTTACAAAGGAAATCTATCACACAAAAGTTAATGTTACGAAAATTATAACTCAAAGATTTCTTTAGACAGAAGAATTTAACATTTTTGAAATTTTAGACATTTTTATATGGCTTAGAGATCAAAAAAATTCTAAAATGCTGTTAAGACATCTAAAAAAAGTCTTAGGAAAAATTTAATTACTCACTCTGATATACCCAGGGTCAGACATGTGTAATCCCACACAAACATAGCTTTTACCTCTAGAGCAAGAAACTTGTGCATAAACTTCAGCATCTCTACTAGCTAGGTTTGTAACATTTGGAAGACTATAATTTAAGAAGCTGGATAAGCAGGAGGTCTGGCACATGAAAGCTACAGCATTACTATGGAAGAATATTGAGATTGTGTCCTCTGATGTGACCACTATTCAGTTATTGTGGACATTATTATATAAATTACATGTGAGAAAGTCCCACTGACAATTATATGAATCTTTTATATTCTGAATTCCCAACCTGGGTTCTGGAAGATTCTAGTAGGGTTAACTTTCCATCACTTAAACCTTATTTTCAGCTCACACTTAAGAAAGATGAGCTAATGCATGTGTTAGTGTACACATGCACCTTGGATAGCTGAGAATTTCATTCTTGCTCTCTGAACATTACTTCTAAAGAAAAGGCTATTTGCATATTCCTTTCCTAGCATACAATTTCATCTAACAGTAAAGATTTTACTGCCAAACTGACAAGATGTCAAATTCTCCTGTGAAACTGGGGGGTAGAGGGCATGCCAGATTTCAATGGCAGCATTGCAAAAATGGACTCCTGTTCCTGCCATTTAATGTTGAACTTTAGGTGAGTTCTAGAACCGTTCTAAACCTCCAAGCCGTATCTCTAGTCAGGACATGTATTTTCCAGGGATATATTTAAGATGAATCAATACAGCACACTAAATGTTAAGTACAGAGGTTGGCACATAGTAAATGTTCAATCAATATTGCCTCCACTTTCATAAAACAGGTTTGAATCTGGATTTTCTAAATAACTGTCACAGCACTGCTTCAATTTGCCCCAGGAAACCTGATCACTATATGCACCACTTTAATCTTTGATTCCCACTGTTTCTATGACACCAGGTGCAAAATCATCAGAGCCTGTTATTTATCCGGCTTGGCAGGTACTCAAGGTACTGCACAGTAGGAAAAACACAAACGTTTGCTATAAAAATCCTGTGGATTAAAGATTACTTACAAGTGGAATTTCCTAATATCTAATACTTACCTGCTTCCAAGTGTCTTCACTGTGGCAATAATTTGAATGTGGTTGAGGACATGCAACATTAAAATAAAAACCAACTTCCTTTAGCACAAATCACCAGTGTTGATTAAAAGGGTATAAAACCTGTCAGACAATGATCCTTCAGTACATGCTGCCTGCTAGCAAGAAACATTCCACAAAGCATGATTTCTAGTAATCTGCTCTGTAGGGTGAGTCAATAGTTTATATGTTAAATACTCTAGTAGCAGGCTAACAGTAACATAATCAAATAGTCAATATTCATAGATTTTTACAAAAATCACTCAATGATGACAAAGGTTGCCATTTTTCTGAGTAACTACTCTTACCAACCACTTTGATAATTAATTGCCTTATACTCACTAACTTTAATTCAGACCTGTTCTAGGTCTCTTACCATTTGCAAAATGGACACAGGCTCAGAAAGATTAAAGCAGGAAAAAAACAAACAAACAAACAGAAATGCCAAGATCATCTTCTTTCCGTCAACCATGCTGCTTCAGCCAATGGAAGCAGAAACTTAAACACTATTCATCTGCAAGTGTTAACAATGCCTCCCCTATATTCCTATCAGTAAGGTTTTTACCAGACAACCAACTGCAAGCTTCGTGGATAAAGAAAGCATGAGCTCCAGGAGATGTAGAAAACTAAGATGACAGGCCTTCAATGACAAGTAAGAATGTATTTATCCAATCAGAAATAAAGCTCATATTTAGTTTACAAAGTAGTCCCAATACATGACCAAGTAACCTAGGAAGGCTGGCAAAGCAAAATCAAATTTCATTTAATCAACGAGTGAAAGAAACTCAACCACCTTCTACATGCACAGTCAACGGCTGAGATAACTCCTACAATGGAACAAAGACAACTGTCAGGTACATGGATTTCATGGAAGCAAAGGAAAGTCACAGACTTGATGTGACTGCATCTTGTACAAAGATTTC